ACTCTTCCCTATAGCTGTCATCTCAGTGCCACTGACCCTGCTTGCATCTGTCCCCTTGAACACAGCGTAAAAAGCCATCCCAGGCATAGTATCCAGTACCTAGCAATAGGGGTGTCTCAGAGGCGTTGCCTGGCAGTCAATTAGGGACTTGGGGCAGGGAGGCGGGGATGCCAGCCAGGCTGTGTCCTGTGCAAGGCCTGGAAGCCCCCAGCGGAGCTCACCAGGGCCACCTCCCCAGTGCCCACACACCACAGGTCAGCAAGGGGGCAGCACGCATGTTTCTCCCTCACTGCTGATGTGAGCCGACGTGGCCTCTGCCCCTGTAGCGTGTCCACTGTGGCTTGTCTCCAGCACAGTGGCCCTCGAGGCTGCAGTGCTTCCCCCAGACCTTCCCAGGAGGGCTCCAGTCCTGGCTGCCCGGCAGGACCCCAGCAGCCGCAGGATCCCCCCTTGGGGGCCAGGCCAGGGTACAGGCTCGGCGAGCAAGTGCTGACCAAAGGTGTTTTCAATAAGCACAACGGGGACAGGGGGTCAGCTTTTGTGGAAACAGCTAAAGGTCGCTGGTGCCAAGAACAGCAAGTGAAAAATGAAAAGGAGGGGACCAAAGAGGCGTGACCACTACCGGGTTCAAAACACAGGGCAGGGACACCTCGTCACCTTGTCCATGCCTCGGGGCTCTCAGCCTGGTCCCCACACTGACTGTCACCTCCCGTGTGCAGCATGACTGCACAAGGCGGGGTGCAGACAGCCCTGTCCCCAGTAACCCTGCCTCAGCAATCGGAGCCCAGCATCCTAGAGCCAGACCGGGCGCCCAGTCCTCTGAACAGGGCAATCCGATAGGCGAGGCAGGTGATTCCATCAGCCTGGCTCAGCAGGAGAGGCTGGCCTGGCCGGGGCCTCGGCCTTGGCCAGCATCGGGACAGGTCACCGTCTCAAGAACAGCACCCATGCGGCCACAGGCAGCCACAAGCCCCTGCACCCCAGTGGTCACTCCTGAGGACCAAGTGCCAGGAAAGAGACAAAGCTCAGGCTTAGGGGAACAGAGAGGATTCCCAGGAATATCAACAGCTGGCTCTAGGACCACAAATTGACCACGGGACGGCAGGGCGGTGGCCCTGACCTTCGGCTTGGTCTTCACAGGAGGTCGAGTCAGGGGCCCAGCACAGCCGGCACAGCCTCCTTCCTCACAGAGGGAGGCAAAGGGCGCAGGGCGAGGGGGGTCTGCACAACCAGCTCTGTGCCCCAGGCCTCCAGATGGGAGAGGCCTGCACTCCCAGTCATTCTCAGCCACAGCGGCGGTCCACGGGGACAGAGGTCAGACTGTGGAAAGGCTGTGATTCTCGGCAGGACCCTGTGACCCCTCCAAGCTGGAGGCGCCAGGTGAACCCCATGTGCCTCGACGGTGGGTGTCATCGCGGCCACAGCTGGCCTTGCTTTCACCTGCCCCCATTCAACACCCCAATTTCTGCCACCCCTCTCTGCCTCCCAGCACACCTGAGCCTGAAAGCCACCCAGGGCACTTCCGAGAGGGGAAGGGCCCGGCGGAGAAGCACACCAGGAGGCGGAGCAGCCAGGCAGCACACGCTGCAGGTCGGAAGACAGGAGCGTTGTCACGCCATCCCTGCCTCGAGCGACAGGCGCGCACTCCTCACTGCTCCGGGCCTGATTCTCCACAGACACGGGAGGCCCTGGGGCCCACTGCTGTTCAGGTGAGTGGGATAAGACAGCAGCACACATTTGCTTCCACCCAAAGGACACATGTGGGCCTGGCATCATGGTGCACACCTGTAATCCCAGCCCTGCAGAGGCTGAGGCAGGAGAATTAACATGAGTTTGAGGCCAGGCTGGGTTATACACCAAGACCCTGTTTCAAAAGCCAAAAAGAGAGCTGGGGATTTAGCTCAGTGGTGCCGACACCTGCCTGGCAAGTGCAAGGTCCTGAGTTTGATCCCCGGCAGCGAGAAAAAAAAAAAAAAGCCAAAAAGAGAGAGATTTTTGGAACTTGCCCCTCAGTGCCTCAAGGCTGGAAATGGAAAGAACCAGAGCCTCAAGAATTAGGGACAGGGCCGGGGATTTAGCTCAGTGGTTCCACCGCCCGCCTCGCAAGCGCAAGGTCCCAAGTTCAATCGCCGGTACCAAAAAAAAAAAAGGAATGAGGGACAGAGGGCCACAGGCCAGGTGGGACAGGGACGGCTTCTGCACTCTTTGGCCAACTCTAGGGCCGGTCGCCTCCCCTGCCGGGGTTCTTGGTGCCCAAGGATTCGGGGTTTCCGGCTCTCCCAGGGCTGGCATTTCCTCCATCCAAGATACCATCAGTCCTGGAAGTTGTGTCCACTCTAGAGAGCATTTCCGGAAGGAGGGAGGGAGGGGACCCAAGGCAAACACTCAGGGTAATCACAGTGCCAAGGAAAAGGAAACCCCCCATGCCTCACCTTCGAAGTGAGCAAAGAGCAGAGAGCCCAGCGGTGGGAATGGGGAAAGAGCGTGAGGAAGAAGACCCCAGCGCCTCCCGAGGCCAAGGCTGACAGGATGCTCATGGGCCACACACATCACGCTTGTTTAAACAGCACCCAGGGGCGGGTCCCAGACACCTCCAGGTGAAGCAACAGAACCCTGAGCTTTCTGCCCAGCTCCCGGGGAAGCATGGCAGTGACTCCTTAGGACAGCATCTATCTGTGGGTGACCCTGCTGCAGCCCTGCCCAGAGCCCTAGGGACAGCAGCAGGAAACTGTGACAGCAGCCAGTTCCTTTGTCCAAGTTCCAAGCCTTCAGGGAAGCCACTGGGGCCTGCTTGCCTTCATGCACCAGAGTGGCAGGGCTTAGCCACCTCCTGGTCTGAAAGCCCCGCTGGTCCCTGCACTGATTGGACAGCTGCATGGGACCAAGCTGGAGCTGGGGATGCAGATGGCGGGACAGCCAGCTTCCCCTGCATCCCCTCAGTAGCGGGGACAGCCTGGCCCCCGAGGTCAGAGGCCCAAGGAAGTGGACAGGCTGAGGACAGGCCTTGGGGGCAAATCCACCAGGTTTGAGAACCTTCAGAGAAGCTTCATTTCTGTGGTCACCGTCACACCCACAGCCACCCTTGGAGGCCCCGAGCTCCCTCCCCGATGCCCAGCCCAGCCTTCACCATGACGGTCACCAGACAGATGCTCCCTGGCTGCTGCTCCCCAAGCCAGGGACAGGAGTCGCCAATCGGGAGGCTCTCAGAACTTAACGTTTCCCTTCCTGCCTGCAGGACGAGTCCTCTCCCCACCTGAGATAGAATCCCAGCTGCCCTGAGCACCCAGCCCTGCCCTTCACCTCCACCAGCACAGCCAAAGCCTCCCAGAGCTGCCTGGGGGCCACTGCCCACCCACAGCAGACAAAGGCTCCAAGCAGGTACCTGCACACCTCCCCTAATGGAGGGAGCCCTGGCTCCAGAGGCCGCATGGTCTACCTGGGCCATGCTCCTGTGTGGGTGAGGAAGTTTGAATCACTGGAACTTCAGGCTCCATCCATCCTGAGGGCTGCACACAGCACCAACCCCACCAAGGGTTATTTCTCCACACCCATCCTGAGTGCATCTTTTTGGGTGTTTTGTTTTGCTGCTGCTGCTGCTACAGGGTCTCACTCTGTAGCCCAGGACGGTCTTGTACTCTATGCCGAGCTCCTGAGCGCAACTTGTAGGCCCTAGGTGTTTGGCACCATGGTCCAGACTCACATCGAGGCCTTGCCATTCTGCTCATTCCTGCCGGAAATGCCATCTTCCTTCCGTTCAACTAGACAAGGATGCCTTGGCTCCGCTGGACTCAAAGGCCCCGCTAACAAGCCTGTGTTGGAAGTTCCCCATCTGCACCCACAGAGGCAAATCAGTGGGAATCCAGGAAACAATGGCAAGTCCAGGCCCCCATTCCTGAAGGCTCAGTTCTGGGAGCAGCTGTGATTCATAGAATACAGATGAGCAAGTGAGCTTAGATGTTCAGCAAGCTGTCAAGGTCACAGAGCAGTAGCAAGGCCAAGATCCACCCAGGGCTCTCCGACCCCAGAGCCAGAGCCCCAGCCAGTGGCCTGCACAGCTCTGTACTGGCCCAGCGCTGTGTTCCAGCCAGGATGGGTGGACTGGTGCCTGGGAACACGGGATAAATACTCCCTCGGCCCCCGCCCAAAGGTGCCATTCTCCCACTCCGCGGATGAGAAAACAGAGCCTCCAGCCCCACACCAGAGGTTTGGGAATTTGCCTAAGGCTTTCAGTTCCCTGACAAGCAAGATGCACAAACCACACAGGTGGAAAACAGATTCTGGGCAGTATCTGATTTCCTTGTGCATGGAGCTGGTCTAGGGACAATATTTCAAGTCTGTGTCACAGGAGGTCAGAGGCCGGCATGGCCAAGGGCCCAGACCAAGGAGTGGGAACAATTCTTGCACAGAAGGTGGCTGCAGGTGAGGGGTGGCAGAGTGGGAACAGTGCCGGGTCTGCTTTCCGGGGAGAGAAGCCACACCTTGGAGGCACAGGGCATCTGGCTCCGACTGCTGACACAGGGGACTCCAGACTCAACCCAGGTCCCCAAAGCAAGATGCTGCACCGTCCCAAGCCTCAGTTTCCCCACTCTGGAGGTCTCCCTGCTGGGACGGGTTGGATGCTCTGAACCACTGGGAAGGTCTTTCTAGCAGCGAAGGTGAGTGCTGGGCGGGCCGCCCTGGGGAACTCCTCAGTGCCACCCCAGGGACCGGAGCTCCAAGGCCACCGACGGTTCCCAGGTCTGGTGGAGGAAGAGGGGGAAGCTTACGTAACCTGTCCCATTATCTCCTCCGACCTTTGCTCTGGCCTGCAGGGCTTAGGAAAGGCGGCCACCTCACTGGCTGAGCGGGAAGCCGCACAGAAAAGACCTATTCAAGGGCCTGCGCTCTGTCTTTTTTTTTAAAGGCCCAGACCACCACCCCTACCACCCCCACCCTGCTCCACCCTCCCTTTTAAACCAACAAAAAACTCCCAGGGAGAACAAACGAGGCCTATTTTGAGAAGCACAAATTTTTACTCCAAACTTTAAAAAGTAAATGGTGACTATTCACAGGCTTGCAGGGAGACGCTTGTTTCTCTGCGTGAGCCACAGGGGAGCGGAGGAGGGGGACACACCCAGGGACCAGGGGGGTGTGGTGGGGGAGGGGCGGGCAGAGAAGGCGCTGAAAGTTCTTTTGTTTGAAAATCACGTCAGTTCCGGGGGGAAACCTGAATTTGCAACGTCTGAGCTGTCTCAGTGTGCAGCACTGGATTGCAGCAATGAGCACCCGGGCCAGACCTCCGGCCCAAGAGCCCAGGAGACCCGATTTGCATAGGCATTCACAGGCGCGCCAGGCCTGACCTCCAGAGGACCGCCTGGAATACAGATGGCCGCCTCCAACCGCGGCCGCTCGAAGGTAGAGTCCAGGAGAGAGCAGCAGGGCCACCGTGCCCGCTCAGCAGCAGGTGCGGCTGCACACACGCGGAGCTCTCAGATGCACACTCAGGCAAGCTGTCCAGCAGCAACCAGGGTTCTGCAGAGCAGCAGAAGTGGGTCTGGCAAGCCCAGGAGGTGTGGGCAAGTGCAGCTCAGCGACTCTGTGTGAGCAGGGGGCTCCGAGTTCCGCCCCACCGTACAGAAGAGGGGCAGAGAGAGGCTCCGCAAAGCTAATGCACTTGCCAAGACCCTCGAAGGTGCCAAGATTCAAACTCAGGGCAGCCTGACTCTGGGGTTATCAACCATCTGTGTGCTAAGGAATTGACACTTCGCAGCCAGGAGGGGAGGGCAACCGGAGTCAGGAATCCAGAAGAGGGAGTCATCACTGTCTGCCAATTAACAGTGAAGGTGGAATTCTAACAGGCCGGGGATGCAAGGTCGTGGCCGGAGTGCAGATGGACTGGTGTATCCCCTCCCAGGATACGCATGTCCCACCTTGGCTGCCTTCCCAGGCAAGGCCTGGAGCCCCTCTGAGCCTCTACTTTCCTGTCTGTAAAATGGGCATAACACCACCTCCCCAGAGTTCCCATGAGGACAAACTGAGAGCATACTGAGGCATCAGCCACTCCGGGCCAGCTTAAAGCCCCAGGACCCAGTATTGAAAAGCCTGGTTTCTAAGAGAAGGGCCTTGCTTTGTGTTCAGGCATTCTGCTGATGTTGGTGGGAGAACGTCTCAAGGCCACCTGTGACTTGGAAGAGACAAAACAAAACAATAACGGTCCTACCAGTAACTGCAATGTGTAAAAATAACAACCCCCCCCCACAGGCTTTTCACACCCTCCCCCCAAAGAAAGAGCTTCGCTGCTACAAAATTTCCAACAGTCCAAGTGGACTTGGGACTTGCAGGGTTCTGCAGAAAACCCAATACCTCCATCCTACCCACCGCCCCATGGGTGGAAAAGCCCAGGCCTTGCCCAGTCTCCTCCTGCATTATTCACTGCTACAACTGAAACTCAGAGCCAGCCCCAGCCCTTCAGCCTTGCACAACCCAAGACAGACCTTCCCTGCAAACAGGCCCGGACACTCGGCACTCCCTGTGTCCTGCAGAGAATCACTCTCGCCAAGTATCGTTGATGACGCAGCTGAAAACCAGAAACATTTCATTTCCCAGCCACAGGACTGCAGCAATCCCCTCCTCTGCATTGTACTTGGGGAAACTGAGGCCCAGAAAATGGACCCTTCCAAAGCCCCCAGGAAGGTGGGGTGTCATAGACAGCCAGGGTACACCTCCAACAAACTAAGCCACCTGGCTTTGAGCTCCCGGGGCCTGCCAAAAGGTGTCTGTGGTGGGAGACAGGGTGCAGGCAGAGTTGCAGAAAGAAACCTGAGTTGTAGCCATAGATTGCTAATCAGTAACAAAATATCCCTCCAAACCTAGTCCCGCCCTGAACTCACACAGCTGGGGGAGGATAAATAAGGGACAAACTGAAGCACTGCCGCCGCCCCCCCCCCAGTATGCCCACAGAGGCCCCTTGCCACCAAGCCAAAGAGAAGGTAGCTCTCCAGGGCTGGGGCTGTCACTGGGGGAAGAGCAGTCATTTAAGACCTAGATACATTGTCTCTGAATCGGAAGTTGTTCTAAGCAGAACCAGAAAGGTGAGGCAGGGAGTCGGGGAGGTAGCAACCAGCACTGGGAACCAAGCCTCCAACAGGTAGAGAGGAAGAAAGCACGAAGTGGAGCCACTGGTCAGAGGGCAGGAGATCGGAGATCGGGGATAGGCTGCCGGGCTCCCACAGACCTCATCTGGTGTCATCCTCTCCTTGCACAAATGCCAACAGACACTCAGGTGGGCGTGGAAGACAATGCTGAGCCTTCCTGAAGCCAAAAGTTCTCCCGCTCACACGCTGGGCAGACGACCGCTTCCTGTTCTGCCACCAGCAATTAACAAACCCTTACACAGGTGTTATCTCCACATCATACCCATGATCTGGGGATCATCGGTTCCAATGCATAAATAAAGAAACTGAGGCACACAGAGGAGAAAAGCCTTGAATCCATTCCAACCACATTATCCCTTGGGGAAAATCTGACACCCTCGGTTGAAAAATGTCCCCGATCTGAAGTGCAGAACCAGGAGGCCGGCTCTCTGCTCCTGCCCACCGTGACAAGGAGGAGGAAGCAGAGAGGGAATTCCACTCACAGCACACACGTGGACACCACTTGGGCTGGAGGGGCGGGCGCCTGTTGCTCCAAGGAAGGGACATTCAGTTGCTCCCAAGGGTTTTTTCCCTCGCCCCGTAAGAACTTCCCGCTGCGGGGCGAGTATTCCCGCTGGGCTGAGGCGCCCCCGACCAGCCCAACAGGGCCAGCCGCCAACACCGGCAACTCCGCCGCGACAAACTTTTCTGGAACTGCGCCCGGCTGCGGGTTCTCAGCTGGACAGGGACACGCGCCACCCCGAGACAGGACCCAATGCCCAGGCGGCTGGACACGGGATCCTCCTGCCCGGCGCGCAGGATCCCCCTGAAGATGAGGGCTGGCGCCTCCCACCACCCCCAGGCCCCGCGTGGACCCCAGTGGGGCAAGGGGGTCCTTACCGTGCAGGCCGTTGGGGATGCTGCGGTGGTGCGGCGGCGCCGACAGGTCGTCCAGGGACCGGTGGGTGGCTCCCGCCTTGCCGTCCGGGGCCTTGTGCGGCCCGGGGGGCAGCAGCGCGGGGGGCACGTGGTGGTGGTGGTCGGGGCTGCCGCCGCTGCCCGCGCTCGAGGTGCTGCTGCCGTCGCCCACGTCGCGGGCCCCGGAGCCCCCGGCCGCCGCCAGCGGCCCGCTCAAACTGGCCTGGCTGTCGATGGAGCTTCGGGAGCCCGCGCCGCCGCCGCCCGCACCCCCCGTCGCCGCCAGCGCCGCGCGCTCCTCGTCCAGCAGCAGCACCAGCTCCTTCAGCTCCAGGTTCTCGCGCAGCAGGGCCTCCTGGCGCGCCTCAAGCTCCCGCAGCTTCTGCTGCGAGCGGGCCACCTCGTGCCACACGGCGCCGGCCGCGTGGCGCCCAAAGCGCTGCCACTCGCGCGCCAGCTTGCGCCCCTTCTGCCGGTCGTCGTCGAGGAAGCAGCAGAGCTCGCGCAGCTCCTGGTTGTCGTCCTGCAGCCGCTGGTTCACGTCCTTGAGGCCGCGGATCTCCAGGAGGTGCTGCTGCAGTCGCCGGTTCACGTCGCGCATCAGGCCGCCGTGCTCCAGCATGAGGCCCACCTTCTCGCCCTCAGCGCGCCGCAGCCGCCGCGCCAGCTCCTCCTTGCTCCAGCGCAGCAGCTCCTCGTCCGGCACCTGGCTCAGCTCCTCCGCCGCCGCCGCCGTGGCCGGGGGCTTCGCCATGGCGCGGCCGTCACCGCGGCATCGCCCTCGCGCTCCCCTCCGGGGCTCCGCGGCTGGGCCGGTGAGCGCGGCCGCCGTGCACCCGGGGCTCCCTCCGCGATCGGGCGAGGCAGGCGCAGGCCGCCCCCGGCCCCGCTCCCGG